CAAGTTCCAAAAGAGCTGGACTTCTAATTTCTCATTGAGTTCACATGGGAGAGGCATAGAAATTATGCTCTTTTATGCAGGTTCATTTTTTCCACTGTTGAACACAGAATGTCTGGACATGAAGGGAACATGGGATCTTTCTCTAGATGTCATACTGGCTACCAAAGATGTATCAGTGTTTCCCTTTCACAAGCCAAGAATGGCAAGGGTCAAAGTCACAAGTATTGCATCAAGACAACTTCAGTGTCCTTCACTTCCCAATAAACAAACATTCCCAAGAATGTAAGTGAACATTTGGCCAATGCCCATATGAAAGCTGTTTGAGAAGGTTCTCCAAGAGCACAAGATAAATTTTTACAGTGTTCTGTGCACAGTTGTACTGTAAGTGCTGAGGATCTGGCATTATTAAAAAATTTTAATCCCACAAGCAGCAGTATAATGGAATATTTGGGACATTCTGTGGACAGTTTTTATGGCAGGTTTCTTTATACAGCCTCTTCTGTTCTTTTGTTTCTATTTGAAGAGCTTCCATTTCTGCCTCTGTATATTCAGTGCAGCACTACATGTGAAAAAGCTGAGAGTCCTGAGAGGAGGGGCTATTTGGAAATCGAGGTGTTAGCTGCCAAAGCTGCCACACAGTGATCACCCTTAACACTGCATACTGTGATGAGAGTGCTTCAAGTGCATGTGAAGCCACAATGTACTTTCAGTTTAATTTATTGATCTGTGTCTGCTGCTGACTGCTGATCCACTACCCCCATAGAGCTTTTCCATGGTTTTATAGTACCAAGTGTCCCAGATTAAAAAAATAAATAAATAAATAAATACAAAAGAAAAAAAAAAAAAAGGAAAAAAAGGAACTGGAGTCAAAATTAAATGCTCCATCATAACAGGAAAAAAACCTGCTATTGAATGTTATGATAGGTTTGGCTCAGCAGGCCTGATTATTACACCTTTTTTTTTCCAAACAGCTTTTCAGCATGTCACTTTCGTACCTAAATCATTCCACTATTCACTATTTCTAGTATTAGAATTAAAGTACTTTACACCTACATTAGTCTCGGTCATAAATATAACTAATTAAGCTAATTAAAACTCTAAATGCAGAGAAGAGTCAGTTATAACTGTTAAAAAATAAAAAGCAGCATTTCCACTAATATGATGATCATTTAGTTACTGTTAGATTATAACAAACTACAAAAATTAAAAAGAACAGGTTGTTCGCCTTTATACTTAAAAATAAGCTCTTGATCTAAAATGCATGTGGTGTCCTTTCCTGGCTGACTTTCCTATTGCCTGTATTTGGCTCTCAAGAGACATCAGATGAAAGAAGTATTATGCACAGAGACCTGGGAAGAATTTTTACCTTAGTCCTACAAAGGACTCATCACAAGAAGTAATACAATAAGAAGACAAAAGTTTCATATGCATGTTGTGCACATACCCAACACTCTGTTAGGACAACATAACCACAGAAAAACTGATATAGGATTCCCTATTAAAACACAAAAATAAATTTCAGAGTATTATTAATACCAATTAATGTGGCTTTCAAAACAACAACAACAACAACAAAAAACAAAAAAACCCAACCAAACAAACCAAAAAACAGACTCCTGTCTGGTTGTTTTATTTGATTAGAACTCTAGAATTTATCTGGAGATACATGTCAGTGGTATTCATCTTTATAAGAAGTTTTAGAGCAATGAGAAATTGTAGTCTGCATATGAATAAAGACTGTGAAGAATTTAATGCTAAAACAGAGTCTGCAAATATTCAGATACAACAAGAGCACAGTCATGTGTTACCTTGGCTTGTTTAAGCAAAGTTTGCTTTTATTCAAATGCAATTTTACGTCTTCAATGTAGACATGTAAACCATACATGCGAAACAAGGTTGTGTAATGATTTGTAGGAAAAAATCAAGTTATAAGCAGTTCTACAGTTGGGTAAGGACTATGATGAGACAAAAGAGTATAATGCATAAGGGTTATCAGCTTTAACTCTAAATTCTTGGAGTTTTAACCTTAAAGAATTTTCATATAGTTACAAAGTTTTTGAATAAAAGATTTTTGCTCATGGGCATTAGTTTAATAGTCAGGAGTCTGCACTTCCAAAACAGGAGGAAAGATGAGAATTGGAGAAAATACTGAAACTCCCTGGATGCAATCAGTAGAGATATGACCAGATGAAGAATGACTTGCAATTTTCATCACTACATGTGGTAGACAAGTGCATGCTCTGTAGAATTGCAGTGCCAGATTTTCTACGGTGTTGGAAAGGTTGGAGAGATAACAGAAATATCTATGAAATAATTGCTACATGGGAAAGAAAAAGAAAAAACAAGCACCCTTGATTGAGATTTAAAAGGTCGAGTCTTTTAAAGTCACTGAAAAGACATCTGAGTTATGTAACAATTCCAGTGGTGTCAATGCCATTTGGGTATAAAACAGTGGTGATAAAAATGCTTTTGACCCTGTGTGCAAAGGTAAAAATAAAAGTAATAGAACATGAAGCCTAAGAAACTTGGAAAACAGTAAGATTCAGATTTTAATAGTAAGCAGACATAAACAAGCACCACTACAAAAACTCTGTAGTATTATTTCTCTTGTCAACACCCCTCAAACAACTGAAAGACACATTTTAGCCAAAATGCTACTTTAGTATAGCTCCAGCTGTTGATCTCAATATAGTAGCAAATATTTCAAGTGTGATGTTATACAAAAGACAGCAATGAAAGGATGTCAGCATTGAATTGGAAGGGATATAAAGAAGTTGTTTGTCACTATGTTGATGTCCATCCCAATGTACAGCATAAGAACTACTGTACTAGAACTTATTCATGCCATAAATTTATCCTACTTCTTCAACATGGACCTCAAAGCATGAAAACTCCACTTTCACTGTTAGAAAGTGCCTTCTAGCAAATGTTGCTTGGCTTTAAGCATGTTACTTTTGCCTCTTGGCAATATGGGAAAAATATAAATTATCCCTTTCTTCACTACCAGAGACTTAGGTATTAATTTTGTCCAGTCTTACCACATTTCCCTAAACCACCACCATTTGTGCATGAAAACTCCACTTTCACTGTTAGAAAGTGCCTTCTAGCAAATGTTGCTTGGCTTTAAGCATGTTACTTTTGCCTCTTGGCAATATGGGAAAAATATAAATTATCCCTTTCTTCACTACCAGAGACTTAGGTATTAATTTTGTCCAGTCTTACCACATTTCCCTAAACCACCACCATATATATCTAGATCAATATATCTAGATCTCATTCTCACTATTCTCCACTATTGGGTACTCTCCAGCTGGCACACGTTGACTCTGCTGTAGCCTTCTCAGTACTGAGAGAAAGGATTATTTCACTTGACTTTTGGGCTATAATTTTTAATAAAATGTTAAAAAGATAAGTGGTACAAATTTAATCTTGACATATCCTAAATGGTAAGAATCTTCTTTTGTAATACGCATGTTCCTTATTGCACAAACCACAAAATAATTCACTTTTATGATCATCCATTTTGTGGCTATCAATATTTTGCCATTTAAGTAATGGAGGAATTGAACAGGTTTAAAGTGCACCATTCCTCACATGTATGTTGACAAGTTGGTCTAAGCATCCATGAAGAAATATTTATCCTTAATTTTTTGAGTTGCGTGGTAGTAAGGAGAAAAATTGTCAAGGTTTGATGATTTCACTTTGATTTCCATGTGCAATACGGAAAGGTCCGTCCTAAAGTTACCAACTCCCCTTTTCTTGTCTATAACAAGGACAGAATTCCAGACACCCAATAAGCTAAAAAAGCTCTTCCAATAACTTCTTAAAATTTTCTGTCTTGCCATTAAACTAGTAAATATTTGTTGTTTTTCTGTGTTTTGAGCCCCTTTTTTTTCAATGAGGTTATCATTTCCTTTACTTGACAAGATTTTAATCTCTCATAGGTGTGAACTTAAATTCTCCAGAAGACAATGGGCTTCTTCTCAGCTGTAACTGATTTTAACAGAACTCTGAATTTGTTTTTTCCCACTGTTCCCCTTTTCCTTGGATTTTCCTGGATTTGTCTCCATGCAGCTGCGGACAGTTCTTTTTTGGTAGATTTTAGTCCACTAATGATACTTTTTAAAACAAACAAACAAACAAACAAACAAAAAATTCCCAAAAAATACAAACAGAAAATTCAAAAACATCATGGCATCCAAACTCTGACTTAATTTCTCTCAAAAAAACCTTAATTTCTCTCAAAACTCTGAATAATTTCTCTCAAAATCAACGCTCAGAGCAGTGGTTGCTATGGTTTGGTTGTGGTGTGTGCCGGGAGCATGAATTCAGTGCAGCACACATGCATACCAGCTCACTCATGCAATTGTGGCTTCTGTGCCTGGTGCAGAGCACCATCAGTTTTTGAGGCTATACCTGTCTGTTGAGGGTGTAGCTTCTGTGCAGCTTTGCAGACTGCCACTTTTCTAATCTGAGCTTGCTAGCAAAGTCCAGAATTTTACAACTTATATTAAAAATGTTTTTGAAGATGTTCAGAAACCTGTACCTCTCTTTATAAAGGCCAAAATATGTTTTTGTTTCTCATCTCTTCCCATAAAACTCTTTCTTTGAGCAAGAAAACTCAGCAAGACTACATCAGTGCCCATATGAAACTCTGCAGATGGTCAGATTTTTAATCAAATTGTGGAATTAAATTATAATTTAGTTTTGAAACACAGGTATTAATATATTGGATGAACTGTGCTGGTTTTGTGTCTAGTTCATGTCTTGGCAAAGGTATTTTTGTGGCCTTGTACAGGGAGAACATTCTTGAATGCAGAGTCTCCTCTCTAGTGTGATAAGATAATGCAACAAAAATATCTAAGAGCAGGTTCAACAAAACGTACTTTCTCTGGGGTGCGTGCAGTACTGATAGCTTACCCAAAAACTTCATCAAACACAGTGAAGTTCCTTCCTCAGATGTTTGCTTGATAAATTCAGTCTGTTCTGCTATATTTCAGATCCTAAAAGTAAAGGTTTGAAACAGAAAGCACCTTCCTCAGCAGCACTTGCCCCGCCGATACCTCCATCACACACTGCTGTGCCGCCTCCTCCGCCAGCCTTTCACCCATCCCTGCAGGTGCCAGCAGCTCCCAGTCTGCCTCCCAGAAACATCAAAACCAGCTCTGAAACAATGTGAGTGAACATAAGCAACAAGATCTTTGTTTTCTCAACTTTCTCTGCCTACCACTTTCCTCCTGGTGCAGCAGGCAAAGTCTACGTGAGTTCTGGGTTTCTGAGAGAGGGGTGTCTCACATTATTTTCCTTATCCCACCCTGTACCTCGCCTGTTTAGCATTAGCTTTTTATGTTAATTTGTACCCTCCATCTATTCAGTTCTTTCCCTGAATTGTCTTGTGTATAACAACAATTCTTTTTGTCCTTTGTTGGTGAGAATAGGGGGAAGGGAACAGACTGGTTTTTTACTCCAGAACAATCCAAAAACTTTAAACACTGATAGAAAATCAGTTGCCTCAATAGCTTAAGGTTGTCCCTGAATTTTTCTAGGCAGAGAGGATGAGGAGGGTCAGGTCTATGAGGCAATACCCCAGGAAGCAGCTTTGCAAGCTGGAGGAACTGAGCTCAGCACTGGTTGTGAAACTGCACCGAGGCCATGTCATGGCCTTGTGTGATAACCCCGAGAAGCCTCTGTTGATACGGGGCTCCTTTCTTTATCCTTCTTTGAAGAGCTGCCTACAGAAGCAGAACCTCTGCTGACAGATTTATAAGTACTTGAGTCCAGCATCAAAACTGACTAGAATAAAGCTGAGCCTGAATAATGAGCTGCTTTCTGGAGGTCCTGCAAAGAGCATCAAACTGCAGGCAGGGAGAGTAGGGAGGAGTGTCCAGCTCAGCGCTCCGTGACAGCATCAGTCCTGCCTCTCAGCCATGCTGGGTATCCTCCTCTTTATCCAGGCATAGGGGCCAAGTTTGACATCAGACACTTCTGAAATGCACTCCCAGACGCCCTGTCTGCTCTCCCATTCCTGTGTGCCCTGTAAATTCTCCTCTCTGCTGAAAATTTTTGCCTGGGCACTGTAACCTTTGCTTTCATCTGTTTTAGAACATCCCATTCTGCTTTCAAGTCCTTTTTTGATTACACTTCTTCGATGATAACTGTCAGCCCTTGTTTGCTTTCTGCTGTTACAAAATGTTATAAAGTTAAAAGTCCGTGATATTATTAGTCATATTCTCAATTCAATTTCCTGTTTCTCTCATTTGGACAACATTTTAAATCTAAGAGCTCTGGTGACATTTTACCTGGCCTAACCTACACCATTTCTCTTGTCCCTTGTTTAGACATTAAGCCCAACAAGTCAAAGTCTCAGAGCTATATTTATCATTGTAAAAGTCTGACATTGTACTTTTGCACTGTAAGAAGACTGCACCTGCAAAAATGGTTAAGAAGCCAAACAGATTCTTTCCATTCAGTCTGCTTATGATATTTTTCATACCACACTCTCTCTGAGTGCCTTTGGCTCACTTTGATGTTTTTTACTCTGCATCAAGATGGCCCCACCTGAAACACTGAGTCGCAATCAGAGAGAACAATTTAGAAAATCTTGTGTGCACTTAAGTAGGATATAGGGCTCAATAGACTGTTCTGCCTTTGTATAAAATAGATAATAAAAAGCTCCAGAAAAATGGTTAATGAAAATATAATCATAAAACCACCTTCATAGGTTTCACATGTTTACCTTTTCATACTTACAGAAATGTAGAAAATGAAGAAAATTATGATGACGTTGAATTTGTTTCACAGGGTAAGCTGCATACATTTTATACATTTTAATTAATGGCTACTGTAAGCAGCTGTAAGCATGTTATATTTATAAGATAAACAAGATGTTATTGTATTCAAGAGTGATTTGTTTATTAATGATACTGGCTCTGCTGCTTTATGGGTAAAGATGGTTGTCTCATAACACTGATGGATCTACTGTTTTGTGATTAATATGATAGACTCTCAGAAACTGCTTTAAATGTCTTTCTTCCCCCCTACCCCCCCCTTACTCTCTTTTTCTATATTTTCTTTTTTTTATCTTTCTTTTTGTTTTTGTTTGGTTAGAAATATGCTGGGACCATAAATCACCAGGTCTTCAAATCTGAACCAAAATGAATGCGGCTCTTTCAGAGCTGACGTTGTGTGGTCTGGTGAAGGAGGCACTGGTTTATACTTGATATAAAAAAAAAAAAAAAAAAAGATGGCTTGACTGTGCTTTTACTGTCACTTTGTGGTCTGAGGCAGTGAGAGGCAGTGAGTTGTACCAGGAGCAGCAGACAAGCAGATTGTGACACAAAGAATGTCAATCTGCCTTCTGAGCCCTCCTTGGTGGCACTTGGTCTCTGCATCATTTAGGGTGCTACCCATCCACGACTCACAGCACTGCAGGCTGTGCAGCTGGAACAGAGCTTTCCTTACCTGCCTGCAGAGTAAGGAGGAATCAGGAGATTTACAGAATATCTCTTCCTGCTGCCCACGCTGGCTTAGGAAAAGAGCCTTTGGCCAGCCTACTCAGCTGTTGGGCTGGTGCAAGCAATTTCTTTGAGGTCTCTTCAGATTTATTAGGTTTTGACAATTACTTTTTCCTATGAATAGTGATTTTGCAAACAAATAGCATAGGTAAATTCACTAATGTCATTAAAGATTTTTTAAAACAAATTTTCCACTTTTAAAATACATAGTGAAATATACTGTTTGTAGATATTTTTAGTTTGCAATGTTCCACAAAAGTAATCTAGAAAAACTGAATTTTGCATTCATACCTTCATCAAAAACAGGAGCCTGCACAAACTTTTAATTTTGAATTCATACTTTCATCAGAAAACAGGGTCCCGCATAATAAAAGTTTCTAGTTAATATCACTGATGTTATAGGCAGTTTTAAATAGTTAATGCTAGAAAGAATTCTTTTCTCTACAAGAAAAAAAATAAATATCCTGATTTTATTTTTTTGTTCCTGTAGGTCATGGAAATACACAGAGGGTAAGTACTATCCAACAACATAAACCTATCCTTTTTTAGCAAAAAATTACAAGTTTAGTGAAACTTTCAACACAGTAGACAATTACCTGCAGATTTAATCCAGTCTATCCACAGTAAGTAAGTTGTAGAAGCAATTATTTGTTGTGAAGGATAGAAATAAAATCAGAGAAGCAGAGTAAACTGGAACAAATTATCAAAGCTGGCTAGACACCAAAAATTAATTTAAAAAAAAAGAAAATGCAAAACTATCCTTCTATTAACACTGATATTTCACTGGAATTTTCCAGAAATAATAGAAATAATGACCCTGTTCCATTCCGGTAATAGAATATTTCAGTTAATGTTTCAGTTAATCACAGATTTTTCTCAATATGTTTAAGCACCTGTCTATATAAGAACTAAGACAATCTCTTAGACCCTAGTCTGAGTCCCATTTAGCTCCTTAGCATTCCAGTTTAAATAGGGCTAACCCTGACCCCTTCATCATGGCAGTGCAATCATCAGCAATGATAAAAATTTTACAGGACACACTTTGCAATTAAAACATCCACTTTGAAGCACATTAAGCAATGTGTTTGGGTGATTCTAACAATCCATAGCTTCATAAGTATGATATTGTAAAAGAAATAGCAGAAATAACAGTGTGTTTGAATAATGGAGTAACTCGTTTTGGGAAGAATAAGGGTATTTGCATTTTGCTATAAATGTTTTTTAAATAGTTTGTATGAAACTTATATAGCAGACCAAGTTTCCTCATGTCTTTTTAACTGTACTTAGACCATTGAAAATGGATTATTTTTATAGGGTCAAGAAAGTGATGGAGAGATGTATGAAGACATTAATGACATCAGGTAATAATTCTAAACTCTATAACCTATTCTATCTTTATTACTATCTTTTCTAATAAGATATTATTTCATTTGTATTTCATTTGGTGTAAAAGTGCCATTCTGCTGCAGTCCCTGCAAGGAATTACTGTCTTCATTCATTTCACCTGGAGAAAATCTGTCAGTTCACAGGTTCTTTCCCAGTTAGACCTGCCATGCCCTGGCATGGCAAAACTCCTGCAATTAAATAATGAAGTTATTGATTGAAGTAACAGAGCTCTGATTTCTGATCTAAGGAGTATGCCTGAACCACTGGTTGGAATTACAGCCTAGGAGGAGAAATAAGCTCAGCCCCAAGGTATTATGGTCCCAGATAGATCTTTTTTTTTTTGGTTTTGGGTTTTTTGGGGACTTTTTTGTTTGGTTGTTTTTTTGGTTTTTTAATTGCTTTTCAGATAAATTTTCTTAGAACTCCTGAGAGAGTCTGGATTGAAAATTTTCATTGCCTGAGTCTAGGATAGCTGCAGAGACTGAATACAAGCTCTGCTTATTCTTCTTCCACTTAGACCTTTCCTTTGATGACTCTCTCTGCCCTGGTAATATCTAAATCTATGGGATTTACTATGTTACAATAGCCAAAGAAAAACTCTAATTCTCTCTGAATAAGTAATTGATGTAGAATATTTCAGATGTACAACAACTTTCAGCAAAAATTTATTGTTGAATTCCCTTTGATTTATAGCACAAGTAATCCTCATTTAAGGCCTTTTTTTTAGCAAATTGAGCCTACCTGCTTAGCAAAAATATTGGGGGCAGGGGGAGTTTCACCAGATCAGTTCCATGGGGTTTCTAAAACACAGGTCTTCCAGCCAAATGGCAGAGCTGGAGGTGTATGCCTAACCGCATCCCAAGTTCCCAAATCCAGTACCTTCAGTACAAAAGGCACAGCAGGTAATGTGCCCTGGTGTGAAGAAATGAGTGCAAAGACTGACTCATTGTGTACACTGCTGGAATAGGCTGCAATCAATTTTAAAAACACAGTTCAGTGGCAGCTCAGGTCTCAGTTCAGCCTGCATCAACCACTGGTGGCATGAGTAAATATTTAACAGCTGCATCCAGTACAGCACCCAGACTGTTGCCAGTTCACAAGCATGCTCAACAAAACCATCTCAGAAACATTTGGACACACACATGTGGAGGCAGATAATCTTGTCTGGTGTGTTGTCCTCATGAGGGCAGACACTGTAACTTACAAATGTAGTAAAGGGCTGCTTACTCTATCTGTTGTAGCTGAATTATGGTTTAGAATCTGTAGCTTTGATTTCACTTGGAGAAGTCTTTTTTCATCACCAGCAGTTTTTTTGTCAGCCTTGGGTATAGAAGATTTTCTTCACACATTCTGTTCTGGCATTCCACTTTCAGATCATCAAGGGGAAAAGAGAAGAAGCAGGACAAAGAAGATAAGAAAAGAATGGACCAAGAGAAGAAAGAACAAAAGGAAAAAGAAAAGAAAGAGCTTGAACTAAGGAAAAAGTTCAAAGTAAGCTTTTTATTTGGTAATGTGGATAAAGGTATGCAAGCAGCATTATTTAGCATTGTCAAGTTCAAAATAGACTTTTCACCTGGCTACAAAACTATTTGTCATGGTAGGTAGTTCAAACACCTGCATAAATTCTGAATTAGGGTTTAAGATACCTTTTTTTGTTTGGCATATGTTTGAATGCAAGGTCTGTGCTGATGGATGGCAAAGACTGCTTGCTTACTGTTTTCATTAAATTACTTTCTCACCTTTTTTCAATGTAAGAAAACGTTAAAATCATTAAAAATCATTAAAATCATTCACTGTAGTCAGATACAAAAGAATTTAGCCCTTTCAACGATTTCAAAATTGTATTGCAACACACTGCCCTTGCCTTGGTAGAAAGGGACTTACAGTGAATTCCAGGCTAAATGAGGAGGAGGAAAATCAGACTTGTATAGGAGACCTACAGTCATTCTCTGGGGCTAAATGATGAGACAATTCTTTCTGTTTTAAATCATTTTTGCATAGCTGGTGGTCAGCATGCTCTCACAGTTTACAAGTCTGCCAGTCAGTTTTTCTTAACTAATGCCCATTCACAATTCTCCATTCTGCTACTTTCAGTGTCACTGTACACAGTGAGCAGCTTTGTTTTTCTTCCTATAATGCTCTATACACATAAAGCCATAGTGATTCACGTCATGGACTTGGTCTGCTGTGGAGAGCCTGACATGAGTTAAGAAGCAAATATTAAAGGTACACATAGTTAATAATAGTGAGTTAGCTGGTGTTTATTAGGTGCCAAATCTATTTTTCAGACCAGTCACAAAAAGTGTAGGCATTAGTGCACAGACAGTTTTTAGCTTTTATAGACTGTGCTCCTGCAGCCATTAAGGTATTTTATTATTCTTAAACAAATATCTTTTAATGAACATTTTCTTTCCCATTTATTGGCCACTTATACAGGATAGATATTCCTGAGTTAGTCTGAGTTAGGCAAGACCAATATGCTTCTGAAAGACATATCTTAAAGTCACAAATACTAAATCCCAAAATGGCTTCTTCACAACATAATGTAAACACGTCACAAAGTGAATCCTGGACATCAGTAAACAGAGAGATCATCTCTTGTGAGTACTTGCAAGATCATTCATAGAGTAGAAGAGTAAACACAAAGCATTACGTGGCATATTCATTAACATTAATGTTAATTAATATTTACTCATATGACTTTTGTCAGGAATAGTGTGGGCAGCAGGGTCAGGGATTGTCTGACTGTCCCCTGTATTTGGGGAGGCTGCACCTTGAATCCCATGTCCAGTTTTGGGCCCCTCACTCCAAGAAAGATATTGAGGAGCTGGAGTGAGTCCAGAGAAAGGAAACAGAGTGGATCAAGGGTCTGGAGCACATGTCCTGTTGAGGAGCAGCTGAGGAATTTGGGGGTGTTTAGTCTGGACAAAAGGTGGTTCAGGGGGGACCTTCTCACTCTCTACAACTGCCTGACAGGGAATTGTAGCCAGGTGGGCATCAGTGTCTTCTCCCAAGTAACAAGGCATAGGAAAAGAGGAAATGGCCTCAAGTTGTTACCAGAAATGTGTAGTTTAAATATTAGGAAAAAATTTCTTCATGGGTTGAAGAAATTTCTTCATGGGTTGAAGAAAATTAAATCCTTCATTTCTTCAAGGATTGCAAAGGTTTGGAAGAGGTGCCCAGTGAAGTGGTAGAATCACTCTCTGTGGAGGTATTTAGAATATCTGTAGACATGGTGCTTAGGGACAAGGTTTAGTTGAACTTGGCTGTGTTAGGTTAATGGTAGAGCTCAATGATTTTAGAGGTCTTTTCCAGACTAGTAGATTCTATCATTCTATGAGTAGTTCTGCTGGAAATAAATGGAGACACCCATTGAAATTAAATGCATCTGTTTCATGAACTCATTAAAGGCGTCATAGGCTAATCTTAGTATTAATCTTAGTATTTCTGTGATTTTGCCAGTCAGTTCTTCAATTGCTCTATTGCCATGCCATTCCCCTCTCTTTTAATCTCTGATTTTTAATTTAATTTCTGTAATTCGAGCAGGAGGAAGCCTTTTTGTTTATTTGGGAACAGTATTTTCAAATGTCAATGAAACAACCATCATTATAATTATTTTTTACTTTTTCTTCTGAATGTCTGGGAAAGAACTCTCTTTTTCCACATCGGTGATGTCTTCTGTTTGTTCTTCAGTTAACAGGACCCATTGAAGTCCTTCATCAGGCACGAGCTTGCGCTGACTACAGGGGAGGGAGGAATGAACTGACTGTCAAACAGGGGGATAAGATTGAAATCATTCGCCTCACAAACAACCCAGAAGGAAAGTGGCTGGGCAGGATAAAAGGATGCTGTGAGTTCTCTTTCTTCACTGTGCTCCTGAATGTTTTCACTGAATGACAGCAAACATGTGGGCATTACACCAGGGACTAGCCCTATCACGTCTGAGTCACTGGCCACCAAAGTAAATCATTACCCCAAGTCACACTTCCGTCCTCAGCTAGTTCATAGCAGGAAGTTATTGCACAACATAATGTAACACCTATAGGCACTGGAACAAGTTAGGCACAGCATGCTGGGACCTTCACCTGACATACTGAGGGTTAATTCCCTGTCAGCAGCCTTCAAATAGCACCAGAACTCAGCTTCCTGCAAGTAACAAGTATCACGTTTTTTCATGTCTTTGTATTAAACGTAACATGGGTGTTATTTAAATAGAATTAGAGAATATAAGGACCTGTTTTAAGTGTTTTTCTTGTTCCTATTCCTATGGAAAATTTCTAACTGACTTCCAGGTTTTATTTTCTCTGAAATCCTAGATTCTTCTCCTATTAAGGTGTAAGTACAATCAGTGGATATTTGAGTATAACGAGGTTGATTATCTAGTTCCTGGGTTATAAAAGGTTGATCTATAAAATCAAACAGAATTATTAAAAGCATTTTCTTGATCTTTAGGGGAACTAAAATGCCAATAAAATTAGTAAGACAGCTCACACATGTCGAAGAGAGTTCTACAAAATTGAAGATGATACCAGCTGAGCAGCTTGTATCTTACTATACAGATAGTAAGGAACTGAGTGTCTTTCATACAAAGAGAATCTGAGAGCTGGGGCTGCTGAAAGGAAAATTAAGGGGTATCTTATAGTTGTTCACAAATACAGAGGGGGGAGGATGTAAAAAAAATGGTGCCAGGCTCTTTCCAGTTACCTAGTCACTTTGCATGAGGCAACAGACACATACTGAAACACAGGGGTTCTATTTGAACAGCAGAAAACACTTTTTTTATTTTGAGGGTGACCAAGCAAGGGAAAATGTTGCTCAGAGAGGTGGTAGAGTCTCCGTCTGTGGAGATCTTCAAAACCCAACAGGACAGTCCTAGCCAACTTGCTCTAATGGAGGATCATGTTTGTTTAGAGAGATTGGCCAAGATGATCTCAAGAGGCAAGTTCCAATAACAACTTTTCCACGATACCTTGAAGTTGTGAAAATCAGTCAATTACACTAACCATTTTGTACACAGAAAATCAAACCTTGGTGAGGGTTGGGAGAAGGGTATTTTCCAGTGCATATGCAGTCCATTAATTAATTTACTTTTCATTAATTAATTCACTTTTCATTAATTAATTCTTACATCAGCAAAAATTGAACCTGTACAAGGCTTCGTGTTGAAAAGTTTCAATAATACAGACCAATTTTTTACACCAGTGCTTCAGCCTCCCATGTTCACAGGCCAGGTCTGTGAAGACCAAACAAAAGAAGAAAATCAGTTCTTATAATTTAAGTAAGAGGAAAGATCAGTGTCTACCTCTTTGAGAGCAACCACACTAAAAACTGCATTCACTCAGAAGAAGGAGAGTGGTGAATTTTCCATTTTCAAAAAAATTCATGAGCATTTTTCACCTTGGAGAAATCCATTTGTGTACTCTTTTGCACAGGCACTATGCCTGTCAAAAATTACCCTCAGGAGTGATAGTGTTCCTCATCTCAGATCAACTGCTCTGGTCAATGCAGCTCCAGTATGTCTGTCAGTCTGAAGGAAAATCAATGTACATGATCCTCCTGATGACCTGTCAGGAACTTGATGTCATGGACTGCCCTAAAATATGCCACAAGACTGCAGTGGTGTCATGAATAGATGTGGGGATTTAGATGAGTCCTTGCCTTTTGCCCAGGCCTCTGGCAGCAGGTAGTAGCTTTATTGATGTGTTCACCACCCCAAAACCCACTCTCATTTTCAAGTTCTTGAAAAAAGGCTGATTTGGTCTATTATAGAATGAATTATTTATTTAATAGACATAAAGCTAGCAGACATAAGACTTAAACCAAACTACTACACAAAAATAAGGGCAAAAAAGGATTAATAGTAAGTAAATACAACATGAGGTTAAAGGTACCTATTAATGTTACAGCTAGCAAAGAAATAATATAACTTAGGATTCAATGTATCTTACCATCCAATTGTTGGTGCAGCACATGTGGAGATCCTTTCCTTCAATCCCCAAGGAAACACTTCCACAGGGAAGTGTGTGCGGACTCTGGGGAGAGATCTCTACACTTTCAAGTATGTGTGTAGGAGGCTTCTGCCTCTGTGATAAAGTATGTGTCTTTTATAGTTTGTAAAACAGGGTTTCTTAGTCAAGAATATTTCTTTTATCTCTTCCCACATCAAATCTTCAGACAAAGATGTTGATTCCTAGCTGAGGCCTGAGCCCTCCAGATTCCCCCTTGCTGAGCCTTTCAGGCCATCTCTTTATGCATCAACTCTCTGTGGTGGTGGGGACAGGGGCACAAGTGGTTCCACAAGATGTCCTGCCATAAGTGGTCCCAAAGCCAATTATGGCAGGACAAGACACTGAGAAAAGACATCTGCCCCATGATTCCTGCACAGAAATTTCTTCTGCTGTAGCAGAAATTTAGTTCATATAGGTGAACTAAACATCAGCTGAGGAGAGTTTAACAGGGGGATCTGAGATAGATCTGATATTTGTGTTGATAGATGAGGATGCTTGGAATGAGAATTTCTTTGAAAGTTTTCAAAAATCGTACAAAACAATTCAGTCATTGATTCTGAACCTCTTGTTAAAATCATCCCTTTTTCATGACCCTTAAACTGCATGGTTTCATTTATTTAGATGGATACATTAAAACAACCATGGTGGAGATTGATTATGATTCTTTAAAAAGAAAGAAAAAACCGTCTACCAGAGCTGCTGTGAAACATACAGAGAGTGACCAAGAAACATATGATGATGTTGGAGAGCAGGACGCTACTAGCAGGTATGTATAAGGAATGCATGAAAAGAAACAAGTGATTCACCTGGGTCAGCCTACACAGGGGAAGTTTTCCAACAACAAACCCAGCTCTTGTCACAAAACAGCCATTTATTTATGGAATGTGTAACTGTTATATGTAGCTATTCAGACTGAATAGTTCATATGTGGTCAGAGGAGTTAAAATGAATTCTGGAATCCAGCATCTGTAAGCACTCTAACTTAGGAGGAGCCCATACTATAGGAAGAGGACCCTACTTCATTGAAATCCAAAGGAGAAAAAAGTGCAAGCCATACAGGATTACAAATCATCTGCAGGAATGATCTCTTACATGTAGCTATTCAGACTGAATAGTTCATATGTGGTCAGAGGAGTTAAAATGAATTCTGGAATCCAGCATCTGTAAGCACTCTAACTTAGGAGGAGCCCATACTATAGGAAGAGGACCTACTTCATTGAAATCCAAAGGAGAAAAAAGTGCAAGCCATACAGGAGTACAAATCATCTGCAGGAATGATATCTCTCTCTCTCTCTCTTTACTTGCTCTGTCTTTCGGAGTCACATGCTCCCTTTCCTAAGATGCAAGACTAAAAGACTCTAAAAGCAAGGGAAACACTTACTGCACCAGGGAACTCCTGATCACCCTCATTGCCCTCATGAGCCTTTGCATGAGTCTTTAACTCTTACTACCCCTTTTGTTTTGACAAGAAGGGACCACTGAAATCCTGTCTATAACCCTTCAGAAGAGAGTGCAGATTATGAATTGAACCCTGAAAACAAGGCCTCTCAAATTCCATGAGATGGGTATAACTATACTTTTTTTTACTTCCATTGGAAGCTGCTTCTCTATATCAGTCTCCATGCATTTGCAGTGCAGTGCTACATTGCAGATTCTCTACTTCAATGTGTCATCTTTTTCATGTCAAATAGATCTGCAGCTAGAGAAGTGACAGATCCAGCAGCAGATCAGACTTGCTGGTAGGGAAATACCCTAGTGGTCTGGTTGCAAAACTCATGGCTATCACATAGCCTAGCATGACAGTGCTAATTATGTTGCCATACCCCACAGGAAATTTTGCTGCTTACATGTGATTCGACAAACCATTCTCCATTAAATGTCCTGATGTGCAGAAACAGAGCCTGGGATTCAGATAAGAGATCTGCATATGGGTGTAAAGGATTTCAATACGTAGGACAACCATCTTGAAGCACTCAGCCATTACACCCGCTTTTACTGCTTCCCATGAGGCTCCTTAGGTTAGATACCTGCCTGGAACAACAGGACTGCAGCTGGCTGGATGATAGAACATTCCCATGAGCTTCAGCAGCAGCACGTGGAAAAGTCTGCCTTCAGGCTGGCATTTTTCATGCAACCAGTATAGCTTTGTGTGTGATGTTTTTCCAGGTTGCTCAGTATCAGTTTTCCTCCCAGCACATTGGTCCCATAGCATCATGACCTCGCCATGAGAGCCATGTTAGTTGTTCTAGGTTTCAGCATTAGTTACTTCATTGCACAGGTATCCTTGGCCAATCCTTTTCAGTAGGGCAAGCATTACAATTATTCACCTCAATGCAAGGAATTTGGAAAATGTATCGCATTCAAAAGCAAGCAATTGCACTGTTTGCTTACTAAAATAACAGTGTATTCCAAAGAGCTTCGAAGGATTAATGATTAGCTTAGATTCCTTAAATCCTTTAAACTGTATTTTGACTTTTTTTTCTTCTCTAGTGATTAATAACACTCTGTTCAGTTCATGAGCATGAAGTGTTGGAAGGTCTGACGTATATCAATATGTTTTCAAACCACTGGAAGGATGCCATTCCAGAAAAAAGCTCTTAACCAAATAGTATTATCTCATTAACAGTAGTATTGCTAATATTCCAAAATTAATAAATGACTAGGAGTGTTGTATTTCAGTATTTCTTGGCACAAGAGTTTAACAAGTACTTTGTTTTGATGTATAATTTTAGGTAAGGCTTTGACCTGGAAATAATCTCAGCTACTATGAACCTCTCAGGCTTTTTTCAACTACTGTTAGAATGTTGGGCTAATATGTACTCCATATTGTTAGAAGCATACACTTATACCCAGTGAAAGCTAGTTGAGCAATAAATTAACTTGTTTACTATTTCATTTCAAGGAGATCACCTCATAAGAAATGAATTTAAAGGGTCTGGATGTACTCTGTAGTGCTCAGTCAGATTATATTTTTATTCCCATCAGGTCTGACTACATTATCTCCTGAAATCCCCTCCAACACAAATTATCCTATGATACAAAGGCATATTTCGTACTTTAAGATATCAACGGGACTATAAAATACATTCTAAATATTTTTGCCAAGGCCAAAAGCTTTAGAATTAGAAAAGAAGTGATGGTGTTTTCTTTTTCTGAAGAATCCTGAAGAACGACTGCTTTTCTCTAAAATGTCTTTTGTTTGCTTTTCCAGTCAAAGTGGTGACCAACGTGGAGGTGAAAGTAAGTTCTACTTATGTGTTTGGGGGAGTTTTTTCTGTGTATTTCTTACCCTCACATTCTGACTTCTGCAGCTTCCACATAATGCAGTAATTATCTGTAAGCAAGTTAAATGTCAGCTAACAGGCAACAAACAAGGAAGGGTGGTAGCCAACTAAATTTCCCCACTACCTATGGGAATTTGAGTGAGACAGAATGTTTGTCTCCAGATACTGTGAATCACCAGCATGCCAGATGATCAAACTTTAACTTTTTACTCGTGTGTGAAGGCAAATCATCCCACAAAACAGCACAGATGTAAGTGGAGAAATATTCACATAAGCAAGAGGTTTTGTACAGGAGAAATCCAGTTGTGAAATAGCCAGCACTACTATAAACTAAAGCTTATAGTTTATACTCATTTTGATGACAGAGTTAAGGGGAACTTCAATTTTGCAGCAGCACACTGGAGGCCCAACTGCAGCAGCTTCACACTGTCAAGCTGACACATTCAAACCCAATTTTCCCTTTGTTAGCATATATATTTATGTAGCATTCTCTGTTAATCACAAGAGTGCAGCTCATCTTCTCAGCTTCAAGTTTAGATACTGGTCATGGCAGAAGCATCCCCTGGCAGTAGCGAATGGAGCATCTGCCAGCCAAGTACAGATTTCAGTGCCTACTCTGACCAGTGTCTAGAATTGGACATGCAAACCAAGCTAACCCTGCACTGAAGGAGATGGGGCACAAAGGTCAAAACTGAGACCAAAATGGGGAGCTTACATTGCTCTTGTCTCTGATTTCTTTGGATGAAAACAAGATGTCAGGTGCTGAGAGTGTTAGTCTGACATGTTCGATCATCACTTGAGTCACACAGGAAAACTTAAAAGTCATCATAAGGTCTGGGCCAAAATCAGCCATTTAGAATTCCATTCACTACACTGTAGAAGCATTTGTTTTCAGTATCCATGCTCTTGTGATTGGCAGTGCCATATTTAAATGCTGTGGATGGCATTCTAAATTGGAATAAGTCTAAATTTCTGTTTTAATAAAGGGTCTGGGCTGGTTTACAGAAAGATTAAATTTGCAAGGATATTACATAAACTGCACACACATCTGATACAGTAAAGAAGCCTATAATGAATACCTTATTCAGCAACATGAAACATAATTGCATTAACTCTCTATTTGATCTGTTGAAGATGTGTTCCAACCTCCTCCTTCTGATCAAGACATTTATGATGGAATTGATGATGAAGATGCTATAGCTAGGTATGTTTTTATATATTTTAAATAATTTGCTTCTTTGACAGAATGATTTCAGTTTTTAATAGTTTTGAATCAAGCATAATAATTAGCAGGTATTAAGATGATTAGCAAGTTGGTATACATTAGAATGGATATGGGAAGCTAGAGAAAAGGGTTCTTCAGTCTTTTGAAGAAGTTTTGTTCTGTAATTTTGATATGTCAGCAAAAGCAGTTTGCAATCACGAAAATGTCCCAATTTCCAACTAGACAGAATAGGTCTGAAATCAAAATAACAGACTAAAATTCTAGGTTGCTGAGTAACAACATGAAAACAGTATAAGCCACTAGAAGAATATCTGTACTACAAATACATCTCAGTAGCTACAAGCGGCCTAACATACATATTTCTAGTTTAGCATGTTAGCATTTGGGTAAGAAACTTCAGGAGCTAATGATAATTATGTGCATCAATGGAGAATTTTACTGGGCCTTTTAAGAAGAACAGTACATTTTACATTGTGATAATCACATGCATACTCCAAAGGTCTGTATCGCAGGATGAAGATAAGAATGGTATCTGGCCCTGGGGAATCTTGAAGAGACTAAAGGCCAAAGATGGCAAAAAGAAAAGTGTACGAGAAAAAACAGCCAAAGTCAATGAGGCAGAAGAAAATGAAAATTTGTTGTAAGAGTCTGCCAGGAAATCAAAGTGCACATTAACTAATTCTAATAAAGCATTGATCACATGCTACTAACATATCCTCACAGCAGCCTAATGAATCATGCATAAAATTGCAGCTCAGGATGATACTTTTCTGCAAAAAACATGGAGCTTTCTTTTCACCTGCATAATTATTCTCTTAACAAGCTATATTTGTTGCAATAGTCTGGTAATCAAAATATGCTGAATTCTTTTTTTGGTGAAAAGCACCAGAATAATCTATCGTCTTTGTGCCACTGGTCATGTAAATTTGCTGTACACTCCGTTAAAATTTACTTTTCTCACTAGTGCAATGTAGCTGAGATGAACTGGTAAATCTAGGCCCAATTATCAAAATTTTAGGAATAATATGCCAAACAGAGAAATGCAAAATTGTCTTCTATCCATCTTACCTAGAGAATAAATCAGCAGGTGGTGATTTTGCCACATTCGTCAGTAATTTGGTTCTGAACCAGTTTACTTTAATTCAGTGATAAAAATATATTTAGTTCCTAAGTATTGCTGGTGTTAGTGGCACTAAAAAATATCTGGAGATTACTTGAAACCCTTGTGTTGCAAGTTTTTTAAATGATTTTTAATAATTTAAAATAGCCTTACAAAAAAAGGCTATTAATGTGATATATGTACTTAATGAGCTTTTTTCCCCCCCCCAGCACATCTTCTTCAACAAAGCAGTCTGGAAAAGGTAATTAATAGCCTATTGTTCAGTCTCCATATTGATTCCTGATTCTTTTTCTGTATACGTTGCTCTGTATCGTGCTAGTCACAAAAATACATTCAAGGAAGGAAACGGGACTTCCTATTGCTTACCCCGTTCCAGTAAACAAATTTCAAACATTGTGGCTGATCCGGCTGCAGACAAGGAGATACATATACATTGCAAGCTCCCTGGTAAACAATTTAAAGTATTTAATGTGATTTTTCTACCAGAGATTTGCACTAGTCCATTTTATTTGGCATTAAATAGGAACAGATACACCTAGAAATAAGCACTCAGTGAAAGACCTCAAAAGTAAAGAGGAATTATTTGTTTTATTTTTAGCACTTGCAGTGCCTCTGTAAAAGAACACATAAGCATCAGCTCAGTTCTGGAATAAAAAGGAAGTTCTTAAAATTTTTGAGTCTGCTTCCAGAACTGAGTTCTAAACCTTCTATATCCTGCTGATTTTTCTAGCCATTGGTTTGATGAGTCAAACAATTACTTCCCCTCTACAAACATGCTGAACATGATTGAAAAAGTATTCTTGGGCTAAGAATTCTCTTCACTGCTTTGGCATTGCAAGATGGCCTAAAAACTAACATACCCACGATTCATATCCACTTCTAAGCAATGTTGCATTGACCAGGGTGCTATAGAAGTTATTGAATGTGCATTAAAATCAAACTCATAAAATATACTTTAGTTCAATACAGTGGGAATTTGATTAATTAAAATGAAAATTAAAGGCTATCTCATGTGTCAAAACTTGCTTTAGCTTCAGAATATTAGTACTTCAGTGAATATCTGTTAATATTAATAAAGAATCTTAATCTGAAAATGTTGGGTAGTGTTGCACAGGTTGTGCAAAACAGAGCCCAGGGTTACCATAGACAGTAAATGGCTACAGTACTTGCCATAATTTCTTATCAATTTAGCTTCATTGTAACACCAGATATTCACTTCTCATTTTTTCACACAATAATATTTCATTCTTTTGAACACTATTGTTTCAGATTATGGAGACAGTGTTTATGATGATGTAGATTCTTCAGACTTCCCTGCTCCGCCACCTGATTCCAGGCAAGTGAAAATATTACTTTCCTGATTAGAAATCTAATACACAGAGAGACATTTTTAAAGTATATACCACAGGCTGATTGCTACTAATATCTGCTTTATTTGGTGCTATCAGGTTTTGTATTTCTCATAAACCCACTGCTGATAACAGCAGTTAAATGCTCTTTCTTCCATTACAGATTGAAATAATAATTAGACTATAGAATAAGTAAGCATGTTTTGCATGTCAACATATTCATTCCCTGATGGAAAAGAGTTAGAAAATGATACATGGCCTAAAGGTACATTATAGTTCTTTTCCATATAGCTAAAGGTTATAGATCTTATAGATAGGTTATAAATTGTAGTTCTCTTTCTATCAAAATTTGGGGACTGTTAGGATAGATACTTTACCTCAGCTGCTGCAGCATTTTAAGAGAAGAGAACCCAGTGCCTGTGTTTAAAGTATGAAACATATTTGGAGGTGTAAGTTCAGCTTGAAAAACTTATCCTGAACCAGAAAATTATCATCATATCTGGAGGACAGTGTTATGGGCACAGCTGCATCTGTGAGGATGACTATGACACGCCACATCCTGTTGTCACTTACTCCACTCAGGTGGACTATAATAATGTAGTCCGGAGATATAAAAAGAGAGAAATCTCTTTGGACTGTGTACCCAAAGGAAAATATGTGGAACTTCTAAGCTAAGTCTAGGATAGGTCACACACACATGCATTCATCATCAATGAAACTGTCATCCTGCCAAGATCAGCAAGGCAGATCAGCAAGAGTCGGACTTTACATTCCCAGGTGCATCATCAGAAAGGGCAGTTAGGGCATGAAACCCTTCCATGGTCTTTGGCAAAAGTCGGTGCTATCAGGGATGTGCAAAAAACAACAGAACTTGAAATAGATAATTTAGTGCAGATTCCCTGGTGTAGCAAAGTCTTCAAATACATAGAGTTAGCACACACAAGGATAAGATGTTCCAGCTGCCTCCGCAGTGTGACGTGTCATTCAGCTTATTGCCCAAAGGTGCACAATCTTCCCAAAAACTGCTCCTTACTGAGCAATTCTAAAGTGTCTTAGTAGATAGATACTTAAAATTAATTTTTGATATTCACTTATGTGTTAGCTATACAAATATCAGCAAAGTAGGAAAGACAGCCCCAACTTTTTTACTTATTTTGAAGTCAAGTCTGTATTGTATTCTCAGTATTAGTTTTTCAGAGCAACAAAAAAATGTGATAAAGACACATGAAGGCAAATGCATTTTCACCAAAATTATCGGAAAGCATGTCAATGCCTCTGATATGTTCCTAATTTTGTTCTGTCTGTAACCTCTTGGTTTAGTTCATCAAAATCAGGAAGCTTTGGAAAACCTAAGTCAGATGGAAAAGATGCACAAAAGCTCAAGAAGATGGAAAAAGAAGAGAAAGAGTTCAGAAAAAAGTTCAAAGTAAGTTTTGATCAAAGCGTTTTCTTCACATAAGATATAAAAACAAAGTATCTGTATAGTGTCTTCTAATTTGTTCCCCATAACTTGGTTTTGAAAGGGAAAGTATTACTACATGTATAAATAAATAGTGATCTGAGCACCTCTGAGTTCAAATGGCAAGTATGGACACACACACATATTGTAGCATATACAAATATTTGTTAATTTACAAAAATTTAGTAATAAATGGGAATATTAGTGGGAAAACACCGATGGGTTCTAACATGGTTTGGGGATGTTTTTTCTCCTTTTCAGTTTGATGGTGAAATAAAAGTTCTTTACTCTACAACCACAGTCCAGAATTTATCTCAAAAAAGATGGGGATATAAAGACTTACAAATTAAACCAGGGGAATCTCTTGATATTATTGAAAGTACAGATGATACCAAGGTCCTCTGCAGGAACGAAGAAGGAAAATGTAAGTTTTGTTTAAAAACTGTTGTACATATGAAATTGTCAGGGAATGGTTGAGTAGGATGTGTAAAATCTCTCTTCCCTCATTTACTGAGGTTTACCTTGGCAGGTGGTTGACAGGAGGCAGATTGTTATCTTATTACTGTGTTTAAACACTGGCTTGCCTTAAAAAAATCCAAATCTCTTCCAGTGGACAAAATATACTAAGTATTAGAAAAAAAGGACAAATTTTTTGGTTAAGTTTTTTTTTTTACAGCTAGGATCAGCAGATGTTTTTCTTGCTTCTGTGTCTCCCCCCGTGCCAAAAGGAGTGTAGCTATGATAGCCCACTGAGTCTAGTAAAAGTAAAGTCCTTGCTGCACCTCTGGATAGCACTAGCACATTGATTGCAGCCAAGAGAAAATCAATAACAATGTTCTTACTTTGGAAGAGATGCCGTTTAATCTTTTCAACAGTCTGGGGGGAACATTGCTTTGGAGTCTTCCCCCAGCTCCCAGCTAATCCAAGGCATATATCCTTGCTGGCATGTCTGCTTGTATTGGGAGCTGCACGAGGCCTTTCAGTGTTTCTTTGAAATCCTTGGCCAGGGTTTGCACTGGCAGAAATTTTTGAATTTTTGGAGAAGTCCGAAACCATCTCCTGATGGTTTCAATTTCATAATGAGCTTCTGTTACACTACTTTCCAAATCTCCTAGTGAAAACTCACTTTGTTCTGGAACAGCCTGCTTTCAAAGCAGCAGTGTGCTCCTGCTCACCTTTCCTCTTCACCTCTGACCCATGTAGAAGACAGTCCAATGCTGTAAACCTCTGAAGAGGATTCAGCCACCTTCTTTTATTTTTTCCCTCCTGTACTCAACTGTTACAGTCTGGAGTACAGCCTTCTTCCTGGCAGGCCTGCAGGGAGAGGAAGAATTTCTTGCATAACAACACATATGTTTTTCAAAATATGGATTGCACTAGTAGAGCCACTTCCCAAAAAAAACAGCTTTCAAAGCTGCATTTTTTGAATCAAGCTAATAACAAAGTATAAAGTAGTTCATGTTGGCTGTTTTCCTCTCATAGTCTTCAAAGCCTTTCAAATAATGACAGGAGCTACTGCTTTGCTATGCATAAAAGAGCAAAACAAATAAAAATATCCTCCCTGAAAACCTCTGAATAGATCCCAGTCAATTTACACATTAGTTAGCAAAGTTTGAATCCTTAACTTTATTTAAGGATGACAGTTTTTTTTATTTGCTCTAGTTGTTCTAGTTCCTCAGATTTTAAAGCTATGATTTTACCTTCTGAAGCCCAGGTAGACTGAAAATCCACAACTAAAGATGGTTTGTTATTTTCTTGCACATGAATTCTTTGATTTAATCATTAACTTATGAAGCACTTCTATAGTTTCAAGCCAACAATTAAATAAAACCACAATTTATATTTCAATGTGTTCTCACCTTTTAAAGCAAGGGCTGATGACCTTAGGAACATATTCTGCTATGGTTATTTTAAATGTTATGAAATTATTTGAAATGTCAGAAGTGAAACAAGGAACTGATTTTCATCTACCATATCAAATTCCTTCTTGGTCTGAACTCACACATTTTGAAATACACAAAAGCTTTCAATTCAGCTTTGTAGATTTTGCTTAATCATTAGGACATAAATGGACTTCAGTGGCCCAAAGTCTAATTTTTGACCTCTCTGAGCTTCCTTTACATTGTCAGTGAGCAGCTGGCACGACGTGTTATGGCTTTCAGTGCTTGCTAAGTAACCAACATGGAGTGTGCTGACCTGCTGGCTTCTTCCTTATTTGGAAGCACTATAAAGAAATTAAATTATTTAGAAACTGAAACTTTGGACATGTAACTTTAGATTAGTAAATCTGAAAGAGTGTGAGACCAGCAGGGCTTGTATCTCCCACATATTTAAGGGCCAGTAATCACCAGAAGAACTTAGATAATGCTTTCCAATGGTAGAAGCACTGTCACAGGCACATGACTTCCAAGAACACCGTGTTTGTATGCCATGACTATGAGCAAAGAAATTTTGCATTCCCATATTTCACTTGAGAAAATTATATGAACAAGCGGAGAAGCTTAGATTAGCCAAATGACTTTAAATTATTTCCTGGAGACTTCAAGAGTCATGGAAAATATTGGACTGCCTTATAAAGAATTTTGAAAAAACAATGTCTTAAAAAAAATTCAAAAAATCAAATTCTGGTGTTTTTATTCCAGAAAATAAAAACTGGGAAAAGACAACTGAGATAAGATATCCTGAACAGACACTGCTAATGATTAAAATAAGGAAATTTACATAGTAATTTCAAATACAAGACAAGATCACATTTATTCCTTAGAACTCTCCTAATTTCATACCATCTTACGAGTGTTTACCTACAAATATGTAATTATTGTTGTGGCTCTCTCTTTTTTTGTATTCATTATACCAGTTGAAAAGTACTTCAGTAGATATCTTTCACCAAAGACAGGAAATAATTTTTTTAAAGAAATTATATACATTAAAAAAGAGTGTGTGTAATTTTATCTGATTTCATTAATAATGCCCCAGAGTAATAGAATAATAGTATTTTTTCTAAGGTATTTCCATTATTATATCCATTATTTGTCTTATTAATGTTACAGTTAAAATTTTAAACAGTTACACCTAATAATATTTAATTGGAGTACACATCTTGAAATAAATTTTTCTACTTGTATGAAACTAATACAAGTTAAATATTTATGTTAATTAATATTACTGCAAATATTATTATGTTGTTATTATTATACTGCATTTTTGTGATATAGTTTTTGTTAATAACTGTTATTTCACATCCCTCTCATGCAACCAAGAAACTGAAATAGAAGACAAAAACCTAATCTTGCATAACCTCTATTACTATTTAAGTAGGCAAAAAAGAATAAGCAAAACACTGCACATAGCAAAATCTTCATTGACTAGGTGCCTATTGTACATAGTTTTCCATCTATTATGTCTTTCTGTCTGAAGTATATAAAAGAGAAAAACTGCATTTCATTAGTGCTAGCAACAAAGGTAATAATGAGTATTCCAATTTAACTTAAATACATCTATATTATTACAGATGGCTACGTTCTGAGAAGCAATTTAGTTCAGAAGTAAGTATAAAGTGATCATTTTGAAAAATTTGTTGTAACACTTAATTTTGTTCTAAACGGTCTAGTAAAAAAAGTAAAATATAATTATTTTAGTCTGTCATTTTAAAGTTGAAAATTGAGTTTTTTCAAGGAGTTAGGGTTTGTCAAAAATTAATCACATACATCCATGCAGGAAATTTGCCAGTTTAATTCCTCATTGCTTAATCATAGACTCTGGTTAAACCATGACAAATCACATAAATTAAGCATTATTAGCACTAGACTCTATTACTGAACAGCAAATTAATGTGGTTAGGTGTATTGATGCCTTTTTAAAATATTTAACTAAAATGGACCCAATTTCTTTAGTTTTTTTTTGTAGTTCAGTCTTAGTGGGATAGAGATTTGGCTCAGTGTTGCTCCACGTAATTGCATGGAGCTCAGCATTTTGGTTCTAATCCAAAACTCTTGTCAGACAAAGCCTCTCCATTTCCTTCAAGAGGCTTTTCATATTAGACCCTTAAATATCAAATCAGATGTCACTTTTAGAGTTGTCACTTAGAATTTAGAGGCATTTAACACTCACATTTGAATTATATGTATAAACAGTTTTACTGTCGTCCATGGGCCTGTCCATGTATCTTAGTCACATATTTGAAAATTCCTATTCATGGACCATGTATCTTTTATAGACATTATATAAATTCATTACATAAAAAGTAGCACCTCCAAAACTATTATGTAATTGCAGAGTACAGAAACAAAAAGAATTTCAAGGGCATACTGATTGGGTTTTTTAATTCAATTTTTCTGGTGACCATTTTAAAATAAAAATTAAATATTTAATTTCTTTGTGGAAATAACTCTATGAGAATATCTATGTAAAAATGTAATAAATAAAATGGACTTTTAATAAAGCAACTTTTTCATGTTAGAAAGAAATGTATCCAAGTCTACTCTTCCCTGAAAATATTTTGGCCTGACCATCATGCTCAACATAGTTCTGTTACCACAAAGGTTGTGTTTTCCTAATTAACAAGTTAATTATTTGATAGATTGCCTGCACCATTCTGCTACTGTATTTTTTAATACATATCTGATTTTTCAACTTTTAAATATACTATTTGTCTTTTTTAACTTACAGTGATGGAGAGATTTATGACGATATTGGTGACGGTATGTTGAACATTTGGAACAATACTTCATTTCTATTCAATTACAATAAATAACTTTATCTTTGTGTTGAAGTACTGTACACATAATATTAATAGTTTTTCATTCTATTTCCATTTCAGATTGCATCTATGATAATGACTCTGATGCTGAATGCTCTTGAAATAACAACTTCATTAAAGATCAAACTCCAGTTTGGAATCCCACTTGTGAAAGCAAAAAGAGTCATAAATGCTGATTGCAAGTTAATTGGTGTCTCTTTTAAATGCACAATTAATCTTCTTTGGGATCTCTGCCTTTTGTCCTCCAATGCTTTGTATAAATTTGTATTCCCATTTATCTGAGCATTTAAAATTGAGCAAAATTTAGGGTTATAATTTTTCACTTCCTTTTCACATTTTTGACAGTCCATGTAGAAACACATCTTTAATTATCTATTCCCAAAGAGGCCAGTTCACATCTGTGAAGGGTCTAGAGGACAACAATCCCTGGCAACAGGTTTTACTCTGACTTTCACCTATTAAGCACCAAAGAGAGCCACTCTGGGTAGGACAGTATTCTGAAAAAAAAAAAAAAAGAAGGTGTTGTGAAAAGAAGAAATCAAAAGTGGGCATCAGAGAAGACAGTACATCACTGACCTGCCATTCCAACTGCAATAGTGTTAGCTACACTGACATATGCAGCCATGTTCCATTGTTTCCATGTTGTACTAATGATAGAATATCATTCTCCAAGATTTATATGGTCAACTTTCGAGTATTGTGTTCTACTTTATACTGTAGTGTTGCTCAAAATATACTCAGAACATTTAGGTTAAGATTTAGTTTCTGTTTAGTTTGAAGATAAGTTGTCACTATAGTAATATAGGTATTATAAGCTATAAACTGATGATAAACTGTTTTGAAATTACTTCTGGACTAAATATGTAGGTATATTTATCAGTCTATTTTGATAATGCCCTTTTCTTCAAAGTATTGTAATTTACTACTAGATTTGGCCAAGAAAGAGTACAGAACTCAAATATTTCCAAGCTTATCCATTGTAGAAATAACATCTATTCCTAATGTTAATTTTTAATGCTGTTGTCTGAATTACCAAGTTGTAAATAAAAGCAAAATCAACAGGTAACTCATAATGATAAATGTATCACAAGTCACTGGAAATCAAAAGACATTTATAGTAAGCTCACAATAAAGAGGGTTAGTGTGTGCAAAAAATGGAACATCTATTGATTTTGCTGCAGTGCAAATTAATGAAAAACTTGTAATGACCAATGTGGCTGTATTGGTGGAAGCAGTTACTTTTGATGAACGAGTCTCATACAATACTGAAGGGAAGTCAGGTACACTGTGCAACAGAGCCACTTTAGTTTATAAACATAAACATTAAAAATGTTGGCTCTGCTAAGTCAGTGACTTTTGGTCTCGCCTTCAGTGAAGCTGAGATTCCGTCTTATAAAAGTGTCTTTTATTGCTGCTTCAAAATACAGTAAATCTCAAAGGAGGCATAATGCAGTGGGGATATCAAACATAAAATTAAGAGATAGTGAACTATAAGCTAAAGCTATTTTGTACTGTATATAAAACCACTGATAGCATACTGAAAAGCTATATGCAACTTGACTTATCTTTCTATGTGCTATTTATCTTATCCATTTAAAATTCAACCAGCATTCAGGCATCAAATACCAATTTTATGTGTAAACATCAGCTGCAGCACCCAAATATAAAACATGACCATGCATATTAAGCGCAATGAATATGTGTGACTATTTGACTGTCACTGCTAATGGATTATTTATTTTTCAGTGGCATTCAAGAGGCTGTCTGCATTAAATTAGTGATATGCCAAAGAACTGAGTGGGCATGCAGGCAACTACACAGCTACACAGTTCTTCCATGTTCTTAGTGTTAATATGTGTAGGCACTGCAATTCTATATCAATAAGACTGACTACATTTGCCATATGATACATTAAATAATGAAAAGAAATAAATATATTTATGGCTAAAACTCTATTTGTTGCTTGTTCAAATCAAATATTATGTGGTTGCTGCACGCTGTTAAAATGAACATTGAAAGTATTACTCATTGAAAAATTAGTGTCATTGTATCTTTGAACTTTTACCAATGTGGGATGCTTTTTTGTATTTCTTCTAAATAAACATTTGCTTGACAAGAAATGTGGGTACACTGTCTTCTGTCAAAATAGAGCAACAGTAGCTGAACAGTAATTTCTGAAAATTATCACTGAGCAGCTAACAGAGTGAAAATCAACTTTATTATTGTTGCAAAGGCTGCACAAATGCAACGTGGCATTTGTTAGTAATTGCTACACAGAAAATGAAATGTAAGCAGAAAATCTTACAGACAAGAAAATCTATACTTCAGCAGTCTATATTCTAAGGGATTCTCACCTGTAATTTATTCTACTATCTTTTAAAAGACATAAAGAAAGAAGAGGAAAGCTGTTCACTTGATATTTTTCCACCACCAAATTCAGTCTATAATCCTGCAGTATTTGGCTGTGCCTGCTAAAACAGTCAGCAGTGAAAACATCAAAATATTGACATAAAAATTAGGTTTCAGCATGAACATCCTAGGTAGGGTAAACAGAGCTGGTTTCCATCTGTGTTGTACCTCTGTGCTGTACCAGTAAACAAGCTAAGCAAAACCAAAACTGAGAGGGCAAAAAGACTTCTCTAATTCAGTAGCTTTATAACATTTCTCTGCTGTTACCGCAGGCTCTGGACTGAAGGAATGCAGCTGATCTCCTGCACATTCCTGTGTAAGAGGTTTATATTCTCGATCCACATAGTTGCAGATCCCCTGGTTACTCCTCCAACAGTCAAAACAAAATTTCCTCTATGTGTGATCCCTTTGCATAATCCATTTTCAACTGGAAAGATCAGTATTTTAGTAAGAGCATGGAAATTCAGAGGTGGAATGTAGATTCTCTGTGTGAATTATAACACCCCTGACCACTACATTACTCTACAGCAGACACCGTTGTAAGCACATGTGCATAGGAATGTGTGCATCTGTTGTGTGTGAGTATACCTCATGCACATATTAAGGCAAATTCTGAGAAAACTAGTGGATCCATAAAAGGGCACCTTTATGATTTCTGTACAGCAGCCTCAGACCACCCTGCACAGAAAAGCTTTTTCATGTAGTGAAAAGAACTCAAGTGCTAGGAGAGTCAATAGATGTGCTTGTATTTGCACAGCCTCTGTTCTGACTCCTCGTGTGGATACATTCTTAACTGTGTGCACAGTCTATAATTACATGATGGCTCAATATTTTTTTTCCACAGGATCCCTGCCTCATTTAGCACATGGGCTGGATGAGAACTAATAGAAAGGGCAGTTGTTCAGCCCTGCTTATTCAGTTTCTGGCCACTCCTTCATTTAGTGCAAATCTTCCCAAGCTTATGCTGCACCCAGAATTATTAGTTTCTCATGGCATTCATCACAATGATATCTCACGTTCCCTTGAATAGGAATGGATTTGTCTTGTGAGAGAGGAAAACATTTTATCCCCATTTTAATGTATGAAAGGAAGGCACAAACAGAGAACAATTTGTGGCATATATCCATTAATCCTGTATATAAAACCAAACCACTGAAGCTAAATTAATTTTTTTGTACTTTCCTAGATTAGGACTCCCACTATTCTATCTTCCTGTTCTTTGCCTCTGCTTATGGTTAAATACAAAACTAAGAGAGACATCATCTTGTGTTTAAAAAGTAATAGTATGCAAAATTTATACTGTAAATAGACTACAGAATTACAGACTTTCCAAATGCTTCTTGAATTTTGGCAGACTTGGTGCTTTGACCGTTTCCCTGTTCCAGAGCTCAAGCAATTTCCGTGTGAAGAACCTTTTCCTAACATTTAAATCTCCCCTGACTCATCTTTAGTTCATTCTCTCAGGTTCTGTCACTGGTCACCACAGAGAAGAGATCCATGCCTGCCCCTTTGCTTCCATTCGTGAGGGGGCTGTAACTGCAGTGAGGTGTCCCCTCAGTCTCCTCTTCTCCAGGCTGAACAGAGCAAGTGACCTCAGAAACTTCTCATACGGCTTCCCCTCCAGACACTCAACCACCCTTGCTGCCCTCCTTTGGACACTCTCTAATAGTTTCATGTTTTTCTTACACTGTGGCACCCAAAACTGTCCCCAGCACTGGAGCTGAGGCCACCCTAGCTCCGAGCAGAGTGGGACAATCCCCTCCCTTGCCCGGCTGTTGATGCTGTGCCTGATGCCCCAGGACAGGGCTGGCTCTCCTGGCTGCCAGGGCACTGCTGGCTCGTGTTCAACTCACCAGTGACCAGGATGCCTTTCTGCAGTGCTGCTTTCCAGCACCTCATTCCCAGTTTGTCCATACGTTCAGGGCTGCCCCATCTCAGGTACAGAGTCCTCTCTGCTTTAGAGGGAGTCAACAGCTCCTCCCAGTTTTGCATCATCTGCAAACGTGCTTAGTATCCACCAAGTCCTGTGTCCAAGTCATTTCTGAAGATGTTGAAGAGCACAGGGCTGAGGATGGAGCCCTGTGGAACCCCACTAGTGACAGATTACCATGTCACTAGTGATATCTCTGATCTCACCTGTCACTGTAACCTGATGTCACCCCAGTCACTGTAACCCCTTGTGTCCCACCCATGAGCCAGCTGCTCAGCCACCACAGGATGTGTTTATCCAGCTGTGGGCTGTAAATTTTGTCCAGAAGGCTCCTGTCAGAGTATCAAAAGCTTTGCTGAAATCCAAAAAGATTGTATCAACTGCCTTCTCTTGATCAACAACGTTGGTTACCTTATAATAAAAGAAAATCAGATTTTAACTATGTTTACAGTAATAAAAAGGTGAGTAAATAGAGAATAGTAATTAAAATTTAATGTAAATAATAGGTTAGGCTATATTGAGAAACTTAATAAAAAGCGAAGAAGAATATTAGAATTTAGTGGTTGACATTATTACACTTTATATCCACTGCTATCTTGCACCTCCCATGTTAACAGGCAGTTTGTTGGTATAGTTTTGACTGATGCATGTGGCTCTTGTCAGAATTAAACCTTTATGTGTATATGGTCTGCTATAGCCTGGTCCCAAGGCTGAGACATCTGAACCAGCTCTGAAAGAGTCAAATTATCTATAAGAAGCAATTCTCTCAGGATAGCAGCATAACCCTACAAACTCTCCACCCTGACTGCTTAGCCTGGCTAAGAAATAAGGCTATAGTGCAGTTGAAGGGTCATCTTAAGCACTTTCCAGAGCCCTAGACACTTGGGAACAATTTCAGTGCCACTCTGATTAGCCATGGTACTGCAGAACACCCCCTAACTCATGTTCTAACCTTGTGCTGAGCAGCAGTGTGGCAGCCGCCAGTTCCCTGGGTGCAGAAAAGTACAGTGATCTCAGAGTCTTCCTTCTCTGTGTTTCATTCTAGATAGATGACTCCTAAACATACATAGAATTTGGTAAGTCATTTTTACTTTCCTCCTCTGAAAGCACTTTGAGAGAGAAGATTATGTTGTGAATAAATGTATAAAGTTTTATTGCTGGAGGATTTTTATATTTTGGGCCTTGCACAAAGAATATGGGACACTGTGTATCTTTTCTCTTAACACACAGACATGTAAATATTGCTTGAATTTAAAATACTCACTACTAGGCAGAAAGTAAGTATGCAAAATGTCAACACAAACATGAATGAAATGCTAATTAGATGGATACCAAGGGTTTTAAGAAATATTATACGATTTGCATTACTTCAGTAATAGCACAAAATCCTACTGCTCAGGAATCATGAGACAGGAAAAGAAAGGAAAAATTAGCACTGGCTTTTTTCCCTGCTTTTTTAAACTTTTTTTTTCTTTGGCCTGATTCCTGATTTTCAAGTTCTTAACAGAAAAAGCTGCCTGATCCTTCATTTACATGTAGGTGTGCTTCAGGTGGAAAATGTACACAAAACACAGACACACAATACAAGGCTCTCATCCATTTTTGCTGCTGACAGAAGGGACACACTGCCAAGCTCCCTTCCCTTCTCCTGCGTCTCAGCTTCTTCCATGTTCTCCTCCCTTGGACAATGTTGTCACACACCTTCCAGCTCACACAGGTAAGCCCAGTTTCTTCTTCTGCATTGATCCAAAGAAAATCTATATTTTGTTTTCATTACCTCCTTTCAATGCCTGACATGTTTTCTGTACTTTTTTTTATTCAATTACTTCCTGTTCCCCATAATTATTCCTCTTTTCCTTGACCATCTGACCATGGCATTCTGTTCTTTGCTTTTCTGCTTCCTTGTTCCTTTCTCCTTTCATCCTTTTAAACCGTTCCCCTACTTCTGCATTCCTGCCCCTGGCACTTTCATTTTTATTCCATTTTTAAGCTGTTGTTTAAATGCCTTTTTTTTTTGTCCAAGATTCCTAACTCTGTGGGTGACACCAGCAGAGGTTTAATGACAGGCACTGAGGAGAGTTATAATTCTTGTATATTGAGTTCGAGACTGTTTATCCCACAGCATTTAAAATCAGATCAAACATACCTTCCTCTGCCCTCAGTATTTGGGGGAGTTTTGTTTAGTACTCAAGTTGGGATGCTACATCTTACAACTGCCAGTTTAAACTTAAAAAAATTTCTTTTCTATTGCGTCCCTTTTTTCTACTTCTGTATTCATATTAAGCTACTTGCTACTGGCCATGTAAGAGACTGAAACATGTTCTAATGGCAATCACTGGCTGCTGAAAATCTCCAATATCCAAATATTTCAGTGTGGATACCAAGATGTATATCAGCATGGCTACTGAAATGTTAGCCAGTGTTTGTCAGCCAGTGCTCAAAGAAAATATTAATGGGCTTCTTCAGTTTTAAGAAAAGACTATGAGTTACAAAAATAGTTTCTGGTGTCACAAAGATTTTGCATCAGTAGATGAAAAATTATCCTTACATTGAGTTTCAGCACTGTTACTGGAGTTTATTTGGACAGAAACAGCAGCTGTGTTTTGTTGAAGTTTTTTGCTCAGGTGTAATTATTATGCCAACCATACGCAAACTAAACACCTGCTGCTTTTCACAGCTTCAATAGGATTATAGAGTGTGGAATGCTGGGAAAAATCTTACATGAACGGGTGCCTAAGTATAAGGCTGTACTAATTAACAATCTAGTTAGCA